GTGGGCTGGCAGCCCACTGGCAAGAGCCTCCAGACTCTCTCTTTTCTTGTCCTGCCTGCCTTTTGAGGCCGGCGCTTTGCTTTCACGAGCAGCCCCCTTCTGGCTATTTCCTCCTAAAAAGAGCAGTGTGGGAAAGCCTCAAATATCAGGCACCTCAGAGAAACAAAGAAGGTCAAACTGAGTCTCATTATAGCAGCAAGGAAAATACTCCAAAGGTGCTGAAAATGCCACCCAAAACCCTCTTTCGGAGTTGCAACCACAACACATCTTCCCTTCCTGTGTGTGACCCACACACAACATCACATTTGTATCTGCGTGCCAGAACCCCCACATCTCCTGGCAAGGGAAGCTTCTTAGGCATCCCACTGGAATGGAGGCATGGGCTTAGCTCCTCCACCTGACTTTCCACAGGTGTGTTGGATAGGAACACCTTGCTGATTGCCTCCAGGTGCCAACTGTTTCCTCAAGGTTTCTAACAGTGTGGTTTTATGCCATTTATTATCTGCACTGCAATTACCTGCAGGCCCTGATTGAAAATGCAGTTTCATGAATTCCACTCCAGATCTAGTGAATGAGCATCTTTTGACAACATTTAAAAAATGCCAGCCTAAGGAGCAGAATGTGGGCAGGTCCCTTATTGACCACAAACACAGGCAAAATACTAGCAGGTGGCCCTGCCTTGGCTGAATCACATCATAATAAATGGATCTAATGAATTTGCATTGAAATCAGCCAACTGGTGACTTCCATCAGAACATGGGCAACCTTATCTCCATCTAGTACTTAACCTACGGAACGTAAAATCACAATATAAAGGGGAAATGCCAAGTTTGCAGTCGTGGTGGAAATCTGAAAATAGATGTATATTTTGGGAGGACTAGAAGAGGAATTTCCTTGTTCACAGTTGATACAGTATCTCACTTCTCAAGAAGAAATGGCAAAATGTCTCTTTATACAAATGTGTGTTCTTGTTTGGTTTTTCTGTTTCCTAAGCAATCGGTTTGCACACTTTGAGCCCACAATTCAGGCATGGTGAAGGCAGGCACACCCCTCTTATACACAACCTGGCATACTCATAGACATTTAATACATACTTGGTAAATGAATGAATTTCAGAAACTCAAGCAGTCTTACCTGAGAGAATATTCTAATAACTGCTGCATTATTCGTCTTAAACTGAACAAAACTTTTTTTTTTTTTTTTGAGTTGGAGTCTCACTCTGTCGCCCAGACTGGAGTGCAGTGGCCGCTCCCGGCCACCGCAGACTCAACCTGCTGGGCTCCAGCAATCCTTCTGCCTCAGCCTTCCAAGTAGCTGGAAGACTTTTTTAACACACGGTTGAGCATGCAAAAGGAATACCCAATTTACTTCCCTACCTCCCATCTCACCACTCACCTCAATGATGTCGCTTTTCCCAACATATAGTTAAATGAAAATATTAACTATGTTGTAATGAGGGAACCCCAGATCTGTGAGGACTTGCCCATAATGTTCACCAATTCCAAAAAGTCACCCGAAGGTCTGGCAGGGAAAAAAATTGGTTTATTAAAACTTACTGGAGCCACCAATGGCAGTAGGTCAGTAAAGAATCCACACTTAGGGGTAGTATAGCAAGCAGTTTTATAATCAAAGTAATCAAGTTCATCATTCAAATCTGCTGTTTACAATTAAATTGATTAGGAGTGACAACTACACTGTTGTCAGCTTTGCTTGGTCACCTGTATTCCATGACTCATTACTGGAAATAAGCACTCCCTTCAGAGACCAGCATTGGCCAGAGGCTGCTTCCTGGGGGAGGGATGGGAAGGAGCCAGGTAGAGGGGGAAATGGTCCATGTCCAGACAATACCCACATATGTCTGAGAAAAATTCTGTAGTTTAAACTCCAGATTCCAGTTTACTTGCAAGTTGGCAAGAGTGCTGCAGAATTTAGTTTGTTTTATGTACAAATCCACCACAGCTTTTAACAAGTCCCTCTTTCTCACACTTGCATGTTCACCTCTTGAGTTAAGGATTTAGAAAAACAAAAATCAAAATCACTTAAAATCATCATTCTCCTCTGTAAGGCCAGAGACTAAAGTATCAAAATTTTTATGGTTTCTACCTGAAATCTTGAATCAAATAAAATATAGTATTTGAGATTGAAATAGAGTGTTTTCGAGAATCCAGAAAATAAGAGTATGAGTTCAGCCTGTTTTTGTGAATAAAGTTTTGTTGACACAGCCTTATCTGTGGCTGTACTGTCTATGACTGCTTCTGCCCTAGAAGGCAACAGAGACCATATCATCTACAAAACCTAAAATATTTACATCCAACCCCTTTACTGAAAAAGTCGGCTCTTCCCTAAGGAAGCCTGCCTTAGGAATTACAGAGAAGGCTCAGAAATCAGATTGGGTTTAAATGTGAGTAGATAAAATATCTTGGGCATATTAATTAGATTATTTAGACTCCTTGAGCTCAGTTTTCCCATCTGTAAAGTGGAGCTAACTCATGAAGCTATTAAGGCGATATATTGTGGCTATAATATGACAAAAAGCATTTGGAATTGTGCTTGGTAATAAATAAAAGTTGTTAGCATAACCTAATAGAACATTCTTTTCTGTCACATGTTTTATTTTCTTTAAACTTCTCTTAGGAGAGGTCTTCACTTGTAGTTAACTACATTCAGCAACACTTCTTTGCCCACTCATTAGCTTGAGATTTGCTTCAGCAATTTTAACTTCATTAAAATTATAATTATTTCTATAATTCCATTTCCTTTATCTACTTCCTCAACTGAATCCCCCCATCGACTACTAAGGTCCTGGGAATCAGGGAGAATTTCTTATGAGACAGTCTTAGAAGAGAAAAAAAATAAAATATGAACCAGATAATGTCAGGAAAACGAACAGGGAAGGAATTATCGAATGTGCGTGGCGAACCAAGTTTTTAAGAGACAAAAAATGAATACCCCTGGGAGAAATGGGATCAGCTAAAATAGTGTGCAAAGTAGCTACAGAGAACCCAGGGAGAACACAGACACATTCCAGTGAAGCCATTAGCAGTAAACCATTTCTGTATCCCTAATCTGAGAGGCTTAAAAGCTTTGTTGTTGTATAAGAAGTGTTTGTTGTAGTTTATAAATCTCTACCCATGCCTCTAGGTTTTTGTTTACCTCATAATATCTATGTTAATAGGTTAACCGGCTTCTTCTGCTTCTGTAACCCCTGCTGGCAGTGTGCGAGTGTTAAACAATAAGTCCCTTCCAAACTCCCCTCTGTCTAAGTTGTGACAGACAAGCCACCCTTATGGTGGGCTCTGTATTAATTCAAACCTGCTTGTATGCCGGAGCTGACCTATGCATGCATAGTCATGGTGACTATGCAAAACTTAGCTTCTAGTAAACATGTTCTCGAACCCAGGGTTCAGCTTATGCACAGTCACGATGACTGTGTGGACCTGGGCCCCCCGAGTAAATGTGTTACAAGCGCCTCCGGCTATCTAACATTCCAGAAGACCTAACTGGTTCTACCCCGCCCCATCTGACCGTTAGTGGTCAGTCATGGTCAGCTGGAGCCGGCGCCCGCACAAATCAAACACAAACCAACCAATCAGTATCTCTGTAACCGCACTCATACAATTCCATCCAATCCTGTGTGGACAAGTCTGTAATGCCACCCCACTCCTTCCAAATCATGTATAAAAAATGCTTGCAAACCTGAGTCGGGGCTCTCGTTCCTGTACCACTGCGCCAGTAACGGATGTGAGCCCAGACTCGAGCCTGAATAAAGACCCTCTGTGATTTGCATCGGAGCTGGCTCTTTGGTGGTCTCTCGGATTCAGGATTTGGGTACAACAAATCCACTAATTAATTGTTATTTGAATTCAGCTCTGCTTCCATTAATATTTCTCAACCCCTTAAAAAACACATCCTGACCAGCAGTGTCCTTGGAAATCCTAGCTTACTCAGATCCAAGGGATTTCACTTGGCAAACTTGGCTTTCAGCAGGGCCTTTGGGGTGCAACTAGTGGTGATCTTCAGTTTTGGAAATTAAGTACTTTTTAGAAGAAGTAGAAGTGAAAATGAGCCTCAAGTCTCTTTCTTGAGGCTTAGCAATTTTCTTTTCTCCAGAAATGATAAGAATTTTTCTGGTGAAAATATTGCTTTTGAAAGGGTCCTACTCAGTGCCTGCCACAGAGAAAGTATACAACCAATGTTAATTTGCTTCCCCTTGTGAAAGAATTCCATCCCAAGGATATGAGTTTATTCTTCTATTCATTCACTCAACACATATTTACCAAGCACTACTTTGTAGTCAGATACAACTCTAGAGCCAGAAAATTTGGGTTGCCAGATTTAGCAAAGAAAAATCGGACCATCCAGGTAAATTTAAATTTATGAAATATAATAACTATTTAAAAAAAATCCTGTCCCATGGAATATTTGGAACACATTTACTTATACTATAAAACTATGCAGTGCTTATCTGAAACTTAATCGAGTATCTTGTACTCCCTGCTCCCGTATCCTGTATTTTATCTGGCAAAGAATAGTAAATGAGACAGACACTACACCGGCTTACTCAAGTAGCTTTACAGGAACTCTAACTTCAGGTGCTCACAAGAGTCAATTCCCATCAGGTACGTCCCTAGTAAAAAAGCCTGGGGAACAGAATGACCTTATCTTTAGAAGTTCATGGCCACTGGGGACCCATTTAGCAGGTGTCACTGTATTGTAATTGCAATTTTATTTCCTTGTCATACTCCTCTCTTTGGAATTAAGGTCCTTGGACTGTGTTTTTTTAATCTCTATATCCGTAAACTCTAGTCCAGTGCTTGGAACTAGGAGACGCTCAGTACAGGCAAGCTTAATGAATTAGTGAGTTAATGCATTAGTAAATGGTTAGATTTATATCAAACACAATGAAGAACCACGCTCACAGCTCATACACAAAATATCCACACACTCTTCAGAAGTACTTAGAATAGAGAAAACCATGTTGTCAAAATCCAAAGACCATGTGAATGAAGAATGATCTTTTATTTTTTAAATGTTTTATGAAGGTACTCCAAACAAAAATAAAGGCTTAAAAAAGAGGGTGGGGGCAAGGAGGGCATAAAAGAGAAAAACTGTAACTCTGTAAACAACACTTACTAGAGGGTCCTTTAAAAGAACAGCTCTGAACAGAACAGTAAGAGTGAGTCAAAGCACTGATTTCACTAATTGGTAAAATAATCAAATATGATTTCCAGGAGTTAAGCAGAACCACAGTATTAATAAACGAGGAATAGGTTGTAAACAAGTAACAAATAATTAAGAGCCATTTTTATTGTCAGTACTGACTGTCATACAATTGAAACACTCAGAAGGAAAATCACAAGAATTCACAAAAGGACAGATTCAGAGAAGTGCAAGGGACACAGTATCTACAATAGAAAATCATTTTGTGGCATTGACTCCTTTCTGTCCAGCTGTAAAAGAGGGAACAAAATGTCAATATCTATAGAGCATGTCGTAATTACACTGAGAATGAAAAAAAAAGAAAAAGAAAAGAAAAGAAAAGAAAGGAAAGGATTGTATTGCAGAGTTTTTCAATGACCACACAATCAGCCAGGACTTTAAGCTTCTTTTCCTAGTTGTTGCTTCTCTGCTGTCATTCTGTGACCTCTTGGGTGGATTTGTGGCTGACACATCACACGTGTGTTAACAATTCTTGGCAGTTCCTGTCAGTGCTCAGATCGGTAGGCTGGAAAAGTCTCTGTTCGATGAAGCTTCAGCGGACTGGTGACATCTTTTCCAAAAAGAATTTAAAAGCAACAGTTACATTTTGGGAAAGTCCACAATCAAATTAGCTGATAACAAGCTTCTACATACCAGAAATACATAACACACTTATGGCAGGATTTTTTTCTAAAGGCTGCTCCTCAATGATATGCAAATAAGGGTCATGAGAGATTGCATAATTAACATATTTCCATGTGGCCCTTGCATTGAGCTACAGTCAGCCTATTAGCAGTTATTTTCCTTACTTTTCCACCTGTGTTATCCCTACACCCAGGGCATTTAGGGGAGATGAGATAGAAACACAGGACTATGGAAACTTTTGGCTTACACACTCTATAGAAACCCGTCCAGCAAAAAGACAATATTAAGCTATATGTAGGTTGTAAATGTAAAGAACTTCCTAAAATCCATTAGCCTTTATTCTTTCAGGCTTAGCTTCCACATGAAGCAAAGCCAAGAAAGTCAACACACAAGACCACACATTAGCCATCTTTGTGACATAATACAGGCATTGCCAAGCTTTTTCTATAGAGTCAGAGACTAAATATTTTAGGTTTTGCAGACCACATGGTCTCATGGCAACTACTCAGTTGTCTGAAGCACAGAAGCAGCCGCCATTAACATATAATGAATGGGTGCGAGTGCTTCAATAAAACTTTATTGACAAAAACAGACAGAAGGCTGGATTTGGCTCATAGGCCATCGATTGCCAATATCCCTGTAGATGTGAGCCCCTGATTGAATAAAAACTCGAGGTTCTGCTGCCATCTGCTGGCTAAGCGTTACTACAAGTAAAGAAATCTACAGGGTCGGCTGTTGTGAAGAACCCTCAGGATTCAGCAGAGCGAAACCTGCATGGCAGCCTTGGTAATTAAATGTGTGGATCACACAGGCACAAGACACAGGGAGCTGGATGGCAGGCACATGCAGTGTGTATGTCCCAGCTACACACATTTGGAACAATGTTGCTTTTAAACACTGAACCAGGCAAAATGGCTTACGGTGACATGTGGCCATTCAGACTTGCCTGAATACTCTGTTACATCATCACCAACAGCCCTGATCTCAGCCCAAGTCCCATTTGATCCTCCTGCCAGAAGCATGGATGTAGACAAGAAAGAATATAACTTTGGACTCACTTTTACGCCTACAAAATGGGACGAATACATTTGTTTTCGCCCTCCTCACAGTATTGTTGAGAAAGAAAGGACACAGAAAGGACTTAATGAAATGTGAAGTCTTATATAAGTTACTATGGCCACACATTGAAAAAATAAAGTTATGGAAAAAGATATTGGCAAGACTCAAATCTGAAACAAACGAAAAGTATATATCCAGTCATGTAGTCACTGCTACACATAACGGTGATTATTAGTACAAATCTAGGCATATCTTTATCACGGTTTAATAAAATTTCCTGCAGGGAACAGACAGCATGCGAATAGTGTCAGCGCAAAATCCGAATCTTCAGTCAAGTGCAGAGAAAGGTGACTGAAGGTATTCATCTGGGGTCAAGTCAAAACGAAAACCTTTACAGCATCTATCATGATAGCTAACCGAATCCTTCTGACTTGGTTTGAATGCCATGTTTAGCATAAAGCCAGGAAATGAATTGAAAGACTTTTCGACCTCTGCCACATTCTTGCAGTTCACGTAAACGTCACAAGCTGGTACTGGCCTGTAGACTACATCTGGGTCCAGGCCTGTTCTGGCCTGCACAGGCTTGTAAGACATTGGGAACTGCTTGTCAATATTTAAAGATCTTCAGACTGCTCATAAAGACATTCACTCTGTTCTCTTGGAAAACAGGAAGACAAAACCGGCCCTATGTTCTGCCAAGCATGACGGCTAAAGATTACTGCAGTCCTTCTGCTCTCTCTGACATTCACCAGGGCCACTGCCACTGCCATACCTGTCCCATTTCACTCATTTCACCCACCTGGCCCCAGTAGACAAGCCAGTTTGAGACCTTTCACCTATGCCTGTCATCCTTTCACCTTTGCTCAAATCTTAATCTATCACTTCTCTCTGAACTGCTGCACATACATTGTACGTGGCTGTGCTAGAATTAATGTTGAAAAAACAATGTCAAGGTCTCCAAAGTAGCCACTTGCTCCAAGAATTCATCAGCCTTCAAATAAATATGTAAATCACAGGGGCTGGAGGGAATTCTCTGGATAGACTTCAGTCTCAGGGCTCATGCATTTGAATCACCTGCGGGAACAAGATTTCTTCCCACAGATAAGGCCCTAAGATGACGGAAACCACCATGGGCTTGCAGTCAGAACACTGGAGTTCTACTATCACTTCCTCTACCCGCTGGCCACTGACCTTAAGCAAGTACTTGGCCTCCAAGCGGCTCAAGTTTTTCCATTCATCGAAACAGGATAGTCCTTCTCCAGCCAACTCAATCTGTTGCCAGGAAAGCCAAACAAAGACACGTGGAAGATGCCTGGTGCAGTGACACACATAGGTGGGGCCACTCTGGTTTCCTAAAACTATCTGAAGTCAAGTCTGATCCATGACACAGGGGCCTGTTTTTCTTTGTTCTTTGTTTTGAAACAAGCAATGCTGTCTTCCAAACCAATTCCAGAAGATGGGTTCTGACGATATTGGAGCCATGGAGCATGAGGGTAAAGGTTGCTGTAATGATAACTTTGAGAAGGAGGTGAGGGAGTTTTAGGAGCCCTGTGTTGAAGCTGGACACTCCCGTGCTCACGGGCAATGGCCTTGGGGTTGACCTCTCACTTCCCCTCTTGTCCCCTTGCAATTCTTTAAATTAAATTGGGAACTAATTCTGACACTGCCAGCCTCAGCCTTCACACTTAGAATAAGCATATCTTGTCTGTGCATGGTGGTTCACACCTATAATCCCAGCACTTTGAGAGGTTGAGGTAGAAGGATCACTTGAGCCCGGGAATTTGAGAACAGCCCAGGCAACGTAGCAAGACCTCATCTCTACAAAAATAAAAATAAAAAATTAGCCAGACGTGTACACCTGTAGTCCTAGTTACTTGGTAGGGTGAGGCAGAAGGATTGCCTGAACCTGGGCGGTTGAGGCTGTGGTAAGCTGGGATCGTGCCACTGCACTCCAGTCTGGGCAACAGAGTTAAACCCTCATCCTCCCCCACAAAAAAAAAAAAGAATAGGAATAAGCATGTCTTGGCCACCATAACCACAACCCAAGCTGTCTCTTCACGCCCTTTGGCACCAGCCACACTGCCTGTTTTCTGCTCTTTGAACGCCCCCAGCTCATTTCTATCTCAGGGACTTTTCACCTGCCGATTTCTCTATGCGGAACATTTTTACCTGATTCTCAGAATGGCTGTCTCTTCTCAACTTAAGATCTTGGGGTAAGTGCTGGGGCTTCCAATGACTACCCCATCTAAACAAGTCTTTTGGTCATCGTCTTCCCCAAAACAACAACTCTATTTTGGCAATTAATAATGCTTTTTTTTCTACTGCTGTATGTACAGAATTATAAATTAACTATGTTTGATTCATGATTGACTGTGACTCTTCATTGGATTATAAGCTCCAGGAGGGGTGAAACGTGCCTGTCTAGTAGCTCTAGTGTGTGTTTGTCATGGAGCACAGTGTGTGGCATAGAATAGATGCTTAAAAAACTTTTACCAAATGAATGAGTGGGTGAATGAATGGAGAGATGAAAACTATAGAACTCTAACTACTTACTAGATAAGTTATCTGAGACACATCACTAACTCTTCAAATTCTGTTTCTTGTAGCAAATGGGGATAAAATGATGGTAGCTGTTTTAAGGTCTAAACAGGATCATGCATGTCAGGTCCTAGTGCACAGCCTGGCACATGGTAGCTTTTAGAAGGACACTCATGGAATATGGCTTGATGCCCTACTGAGAAAGAAATCTGGTAGATTTTGGAAGCAAAACCTCAATATCCCAACCAACTCATCTTCGACAAAGCATCCACTAACAACCACTGGGGAGAGGAGAACTTATTGAGTAAATACTGCTGGGAAAACTGGCTGGCCACATGCAGAAGATTAAAACAAGACCTCTACCTATCATCATACACAAAAATCAACTCTAGGCTGGGCATGGTGGCTCAGCCTGTAATCCTAGCACTTTGGGAGGCCAAGGCAAGAGGATTGCTTGAGCCTGGGAGTTAGAGATCATCCTGGGCAACTTGATGAGACTTCGTCCCTACAATAAATCAAAAAATAAGCTGGGCATGGTGGTGTGTGTCTGTAGTTCCAGTTACTTGGAAGGCTGAGGTGGAAGGATCAACTGAGCCCAGCAAGTTAAGGCTGCGGTGGCCGTGAGCAAGTCTCTGCACTTCAGCCTGGACAAGAGCGACTCCAACTCAAAAAAAAAAAAAAAAAATCAACTGTAAATTTCAAACTGTACAAACCTTAGAAAATGCAGGAGACACCCTTATGGAAATTGGAACTGGTAACCAATTCCTGATCAAAACCCCAAATGCTCATGCCATAAGAGATAAGATAGGCAAGTAGAACCTCATCAAGTGGGGAGACAGCCCACAGACTGGGAAAAAATATTTGCCAACTGTCTATCTGACAACGGCCTAACATCTTGGATCTACAAGGAAGCCAAAAAGTGCTGAAAAGAAAAAAAAAAAAAAGAAAAACCAGCCCCATTACAAAGTGGACAAAAGATATGAATAGACACTTTTCAAAAGAAGACATACTAGCTGCCAACAGATACATGAAAAAAAGTGCAACCTCACTAACATCAAAGAAATACAAATTAAAACCACACTGAGATACCATCTAACTCCAGTCAGGATGACCATCATCAGTAACTCAAAAACAACAGATGCTAGAGGGGATGTGGAGAAAGGGAACACTTCTACACTGTTGGTGGGAGTGTAAACTAACACAGCCTCTGTGGAAAACAGTATAGTGATTCCAAAATATCTAAAAATTGACCTTCTGTATGACCCAACAATCCCCGTTCTGGGAATATACCTGCCCATCAAAAGTAGTCTGACTTAAAAAAAAAGGGGAGGTACATATACATGATGGAATATTACACAGCCATAAACAAGGACAAAATTATGAACTTTGCAGAACTTGGATGGACTTAGATTCTATAATACTGAGTGATCTTTCACAGAAACAAAGAACTGAGTATCACATGTTCTTACTCATAAGCAGACCCTGAACAATGATACCAATATTATAAGAAAGGATTAGCAGCAGTGGGAAACTTCCAGGGGAGGGAGGGGGAAGCACTTCATCGATAAGGGTACCTGATCTCAAACCAGGTGAAGTGAGGACCAAAGTCAGGTCCAAACTTTACCTGTACACTGACCACTTGCATACCTAATCCTGAGTTGTACCCCATGTCTTTGAAATAAATAAATAAAAATACATAAGAAAAAATCTGAGGCTCTACTACTTCACTGGTGACATGTTGGTGTTTGTTTGTATTTTAAAAAGGGGGGATGAGGTTTCGTGTCCAAATAGATTTGCAGAGCTTTGGGTTGAACAAGATTAAACAAATCCTTTATTGCAGGATATTTCAGAGCCTTGAAAATATTGACTTTCATTCCAAATCTTCGAGAGGAGAATTTAACATGCAGTGTTTCCCCAAAACTGGTTTGACCACAGTACTTTTCTTAGGGATAGGATGTTATCCATTGTGATTAGCATGCTACAGAACACAATTTGGGAAATGCTGCTCTTGTTATTTTATCTGCTGCATTCCTAAAAGAATCCTGTGAACACTTGTTGAACTTGTCTCTTCCATACATTTCTTCCATGGTTTTCATGATGAACCTCTTTCCAATGTCGATTCTATATCTGTTCCACCACAGAAGAGAATTTCTTTTTTTTTTTTGAGTTGGAGTCTCACTCAGTCGCCCAGACTGGAGTGCAGTGACCGCTCCTGGCCACCGCAGCCTTGACCTGCTGGGCTCTGGCGATCCTTCTGCCTCAACCTTCCAAGTAGCCGGAATTACAGGCATGCGCTACCATGCCCAGCTGATTTTTTGATTTATTGTAGAGATGAGGTCTCGCCAAGTTGCCCAGGCGGGTCTCGAACCCGCGGGCTCAGGCAATCCACTCACCTCAGCCTCCCAAAGACGCAGGATTACAGGCTGAGCCACCAAACCCGACTAGAAGAGAATTTCTATATGGACATTTGTAAATAGAGTGGGAGGAGGAAGAAGGGTAGATTAAACATGTCTTAGTGTATGTGACACCAAAACTAGCACCTCCCTCTCTCCCCAACCCCGAAAAACAGTACTAAAGTAATAATTCCAAAATCAACCAGCAGGTGGCGCACGAGGACTAAATTTGAGGAGGAAATGAACTTTTTTCCCTCAAACTAGCTTGATAAATTCCTCCATAGGGGTCTGTGTGATTTCCAACATTAACAATCTGTCAGAAAAAAAAAAAAAAAATCAGCCTGAAATCTATCAAGGTAGGTGAATTGGCCAGTTGTAACCTATAATCACCAGCAAAACGAGAAGAAATGATGGGCTCTGTAACTCCATGTGTCTCACACTGGGCCGCCAGGTCATTAACTTTTCCTGATTTTATTTTATTTTTTTCTGGGATGTAAGGAAGGGAGGAAAGAAGAGGAAAGGTAGGTGGCTTAAGTCAAACAAACATTTTTCCCATTTATTTGTCTCATAAATAACCACCCCTAATAAGCAAGATGATTTTAGGTAGGCTGTGAACATCTTTTAAATCTCCAATAATTATTATTTATCTTAAGGTCTATTAGAAAAGTATAGCCAGAGGTTATATTAGTATAATGATAGTGAAATATGCTTTTCTTTTTTAAAAATATACTTAGAAGAGACAATAAAATTGAATCATGGTTTAAGTGGCATGTACATGAAAAAAACTGTGATGATGTCCCTTAAATATTGCAAAAAGTTCTAAAGTTGAAATGGACACTAATGGCATTTGTGACAACCTGACCTAATTCAGCTCTCTCTGTAGAAGCATCTTGGAAGGTCAGCTCATTGGCAACTATCAATTCAGTCATTCGCTTCAGCAGCTCCTACAGGCACTCAGGATCTATTTTCGCAGTCCCTGCAATGTGCCACACTCTCTGCTAGGGACACAGCGTGGACTCCATAAAGACTCAAATGTACATTCTCTCCACGCCTTAACATTACACAGTCTTTCAACAGATACTAATGGATCAGCCTCTCCACACAGGGCACTGGGGGATAAAGTAATAAAGATTAAAAGAGGCTCAGCTCTCCTGCCTTCCTGGACATGATTGCTTCCTAGAAGAGCCAACCATGAATCAAGTGGCCACACAATTAAATACGAAATGAAAACGCGTTAAGGGCTAGAAAGGAGAGGGTTATTGTCTCCATGTTGTGAGTGCACACCATCAGAGGTGCCCATGAAGGTTAGAGTTGTCTGGAGGATGCCCCCTGAAGTCTGAGGGGTACTGGAGGGGGAGACCTGAAGGTGACCAAGAGTTAATAGGGTGGGAGAAGGGCACAGCCTGCAAGAAAAGCTGGGGGGGGCGGAGGAGGGAGGACCAGCAGGAAGGGTTGAGATGAAGCCTGCTGTGAGCGGGGGACAGAGCCCGCATGGATGGCAGAGGCCATGGTTTTCTCTGGTCATTCACTCATTCATTCTTGCATTCATTTATTCAGTAAATTTCTGCGTGTAAAGTAGGCGTAGTCTAGGCATGCTGTTTCAAGTTTGGTGATCTTGCACCCCATCGTTGCAAAGTCCTTCTGCAAGCATCTCCGTGTAGGCTTGTTTGTTTATACATCACATATGCACAAGCTGTTCCTATATACTATGAAATGTAAAAAGGCATATTTGAACGGAGAAGAAAAAATTTAAATAGAATTTTCGATTGTTCTTGTCGTCCCCCCAGTATGATGCTTCAGAGATCACCTCTCTGGGAAAAGGGCTTGTTAGGATTTGCTTAAAGTCATTCAGCAAAACTGAAGCCATGACGCCCTGCTAGGGTCATATCCACCCAGAAGCCTTGTTAAAACCATAAGTGGCCAGGCCCCACCCTCAGAGTCCCTGATTCAGTAGGTTTGGGGAGAGGCCTAGAAACGTGTGTTTCTAGCAAGTTCCCAAGGAACGCTGATACTACTAGTCATCCGTCTACGAGACTGTCTCTGGAATCGTGAGGCCCAGCCTCCTGCCCAGACCCCGTGTAGGGTGTGCTCCAAGTGCAGAGTGTTCAGTCTTAAGATCTACCATTTCTGGCATTAAGGGCCCAAGAATCTGCATGTTAAACAACTTTCCCCAGGACATGGTGATGGATGCAAATATTTGAGAACTGAGGTCTCTAGAAAGATCGTGTCTCATGTTGCAGAGCCTTGATGGGGGCCCTGGCTTGGGAAGAAGGGCGCTCGCCAGCTGTCACGCAGCAAGCCAAGCTGAGCTCCCACCCCAAGGCCCAGCGCCCACACAGCCTGCCGCGCTTACCTTGCAGGCGGTAGAGCTGTCCCGTGCTGTGCTGCCGTGTGATGTGTTGCCAGTAGGCACTGCGGGGCAGGGGCACCATGGTGCTCAGAGAGGCGGCCCGCTCACTCATCTTCATCTGGAGCTGCGGTCACAGGGAAGAGAACGGTGTGTCAACAACGCTGGGCTGAGAGACATCTGACTGAGGGCACCAGAGAGCAGAGTCACAGAACCACAGAGCTAGCTGGTGGGCAAATCGGTGAGCGCTGGCGGTGGCGGAAGACACGGGAGCCAGCCATTGTGTTTGCTGCTTAGCATCCTCCCATCACCTGCCTCCTGGACAACAATGCACTGATTTTTTTCTTGGAGGAAGCTGCCTCCAACTCATCCCATCCCTCTCGTCCTGGTGGGGCCGACCCCACTGATTCCAGATTGGGCGGGTGGCCCACGCCAGGCCAGTTAGACACCATCCCCTGAGACATTTATTAGCACTTTCATGGAAGAGAGTGGCAGTAGAAATAAACTGTTTTGTCATTTTGTTCATTGCTATATCCACAGGGTTTAGAGTCGTTTCTGACACATAGTAGATGCACAAGAAATACGTGTTGAATTGAATGAATGGGCATTCGTGTGGAGTTGCTAAGAGGAATGAAGGCAGAATGGAGCCTGCCTAGAACGACAAAGGGAAAGCATGAGCATTCAGAAGAAAAAGGCCAAGACCAGGAGAGCAAGATCTCGACAAGTGTCAGAGGCCGGCCTCAGGTCATTCCACTGTATGCACCAATTACTCCTTTTTAGTTTAAGCAGGTTTGAGTTGGGTGTTCTATCACTAGCACCAGAAAAAAATTTTTTTAATTAAATTAAAAAACCCATCTGCTTGAACGAAGGCCTTTTCTCAACTGATCATGGTTCCAGGTGCTGAGGGAGGAACAAGGGAAAGGTAGGTTTTGGCTTCAAGCAGCTAAGGGTGTCTCTGCAGATACACAGTGCAAGTCCCCTAGGTCATCAGAGAGCAGCCAATGGCTTGTCCAGCCACACCAAGGGAACTGACTGTACGCAGGAAGAGAAGTTTCCAAGAGGAGAGAGCCTGGCAGGATGGGTAGAATAAAAGGAAAGGTGAACGAGGAAAATGCATGGAAGAAGACCTGAGGTACCAGTGTGAGCTGCCTCAGCCCCCTTGCATCTGAGCCCTGGTCTTAGACACAGTCGGACATCAGTTTATTATGCCAATGTATGCGAAGTGACGATATGCAAAGTCTGATTTCCTGGATGCTTGAATATCAAATAATCTACCTCCATCTTAAAAAGAAAACACACTCACAGACTTGCCTAAGATGTTTATTGGGAAAATAATTTACAACCCGTAAAAACTGGAGGCAACTTAAGTATCCCTCGGTCAAGACCTGGTTAACTGCACCTGGACACAATGGAACCCTCGGCAACTTTTCACCCAGAAATGGGAGATTTACACAAATGGAAAAGGAAATGTGTGGGAAGGAAACATGAAGGAAACACAGGGAGTTGCAGGTCTAGCGGAATGCCATGTTGGTTGCTCATATGAAAAGCATTGGCATGAAACACTTACCCGGTTGGGGAGTATGAGAGTTCAGCAAAATGACAGCTGCTTGGCCTTGACTAGCGACAAACAGGTACAAGAAAAAATGGAGGTGATGGAGATGATGATGATGATGATGATGATGATGGTTAGAAACTGCAATGCCCGCCGGGCTCGGTGGCTCAGCCTGTAATCCCACGCCTTTGGGAGGCTGAGGTGAGTGGATTGCCTGAGCCCGCGGGTTCGAGACCCATCTGAGCAGCGAGACCTCATCTCTACAATAAATCAAAAAAAATTAGCCAGGCGTGGTAGTGCGTGCCTGTAATTCCGGCTACTCGGAAGGCTGAGGCGGGAGGATCGCTGGAGCCCAGCAGGTCGAGGCTGCGGTGGCCAGGAGCGGCCACTGCACTCCTGTCTGGGCGACAGAGGGAGACTCCAACTCAAAAAAAAAAAAAGAAAAAGAAACTGCAAGGCCCATTTAAATATTTTTTTTAAAAGAAAAGTGTCCCTGTACACATCTCATCAGCACAGTAGTGTCAGGCATAATATCTGTATATTCACTCAACAAAGCCCAAATAATATAAGGTTTCACACCCTAGAGACCAAAACTCATTGAAGTTGATGAGTCTCAACTTGAAATTCAGATGATAACCATTCACTCAAAAGATAATTTAATTGATATGTATTGCATTTACATGTGCTGGATTGATTTCCCTACTGCTTTCATAAGAGCACAATTACCAAACATGTCCACAAGTGGAATCATAAAGCCCTAGGTTCCACAGGAACAGTTTTTTCCTAAAAAGTGCTCTGTTCGAGCAAAAGGTCAAAAAGCTACGCTAGTAGAAAAGTTCTGTGGCTATTTCTTTTCATTTTTATTTTCTTAAATTATTTTAACTGACAAATAAATATCATGTACAATGGGGTACAATGTGATGTTTCAATCTATGTATACATTATAGAAAGATTAAATCAAAATAATTAATATAATTCATTACAGTAGCTATTTCTATATATATGAAAGTCTCAAAAAACACCACAAAAAACTACTTATCAGTGACTTTTGGTGACATTCAACCTCATTTGCATGGAATGCAAGAAAATAAAGAAAAGACCTACATTTATAGAGACTGGTTATTAGAGGATTTGTTTGTTTGTTTGTTTGTTTGTTTGTTTTTTGAGTTGGAGTCTCACTCTATCCCCCAGACTGGAGTGCAGCGGCCGCTCCCGGCCACCGCAGCCTCGACCTGCTGGGCTCCGGCGATCCTCCCGCCTCAGCCTTCCAAGTAGCCGGAATTATAGGTGCGTGCTACCACACCCAGTTAATTTTTTATTTATTGTAGAGATGAGGTCTCGCCAAGTTGCCCAGGTGGGTCTCAAACCCGTGGGTTCAGGCAATCCAGAGTTTTTTAATATAAAGAGACTCTATTGAATTTAATTAAAAATTTAATATAGAGAAAACATGTGGGGATACCCGTCACTTCAAATTACTCATTGTTTTACTGCAAATGTTTAGGCAGCCCGGTATGACTTGACTATATTTTTAGAAAGCCTATTTAGGAACAAGAATGAGATGACACCAATACCATGTTGTGAAGCGGATAGTACAAAGCCTGGTTCTAGTTTTTCCTCAACCCTTTGAGAGAGTATCTAATTTTACAAAAGGGAGCGTTTTAATTGTCTTTGGAGGAAAATTGCGAGAAAAGCCTTCTCATTTAACAACGCAAACATGTCCGAACAATGCTCTGAGGGTGAGAAGACTTGAGGTGGGGACTCCTTTGGGGAGCGTCTGGCTGGGCAGTTTCCTTCCCTCTTCTGTATTGTGGGGTCCCTCGTGTCCTTGATATTGACAACCAGTACGAGGGATGTGATGGTTCTCTTGCCCAGCACTGGTGTAAATACAAACAAGCACTCATTCCTGGAGGAGTTAAAATTGGGTTAACTGGAGTACATACAGAACGTTCCCCAAATAATCATCTCATTCAACAACATTTTGTTACAACTTTGATATATAAAAAAAATCAGTTCCTGGCACATCTGCCTGGGTTTCCTCTGAGTCTGTTTTCTTCCTACATCCCAAAACAGTGGCCATTAGGTGAACTGGCATGTCTACATGGTCCCCATCTGAGTGAGTGTGAGTGTGCCCTACAATGAGACAGGATCCTGTCCAGGAATAAGCTGATCCGATGGACTGGCCACCAGCAACCCTGAACTAGAATCATTGGGTAAATAATGATCTTACTTGTTTTTATCAATCTTTCTTAAATGTATGCATAACTCACGTTTACTTCAACATTTAATATTATAGTGTTAAGGGATCTTTATTTAGAAGTTCAGTAATATTTTTGTGACCAGAAATGGGCTTCAGGAACATAACTCTTGTTGCTATCAATCAGCCTGTGTCAAATTGGTTTCATTACATGTGGTTTCACTTACAGTTGCTGTTTCCAAGAACCTATTGACGACGTTAAAGACTTATCGGAGAGAAGAATTAATGTCTTTCTCCTGTTTAAAAATCTTATGCATTTTATATAGTTTTTAAAAATAATGAACATAATACCACAAACCATAAAACTGTAAAGTATGGTCATTTCTGCTATAAGGTGACAAAGACATTCTTGAAAGTCATCCCATTCACAAAATTGTGGGAAAAGTCAGGTGATAGGATGACCACTCAAAATGTATGCTGATTGAAACCAGAGTCATTGTTATTTTGGGGGATAGCTTGGATAGCCTAGCAAGGCTAGAGGCTGACTCAGGGTTATAAAAAGTGCAGAAAAATATTTGGTTGGAAAACACAGGCTTGAGGAAGTCCAGGCAACAGAAGTGGAGGAAGGTTCCTCTAAAAAGGTGGCACTAGCAGATATGTAGCCACATGAGCACAAGATGTCCAAGGTTGGGCACATCCCTCAGGAGAGGGAACCCTTGGCCCCTGGGTTCACCTCTCACCTTCTGCAAGAGGCCCTGCCTGTGTAGGAATTTATTAAGAGATTTTGCCTTTCCAGCTTAAGGTTACAATTCCACTCCTGCTAATGTGGGCTTCCTTTGTCTAGGAAAAAAATCACTTATGAACCAATATAGCCTCAATATTTGATGAAGCCGAGTGCAGCAGCTCACATCTGTAATCCAGGCACTTTGGGAGGCAGAGGCAAGAGGACTGCCTGAGCCCAGAGGTTCGAAACCAGCCTGGGCAACCTGGAGAGACCTCATCTCTACTATAAATCAAAAAATTAGCTGGGCATGGTGGTATGCAGCTGTGCTCCGGCTACTTGGAAGGGTGAGACTGAAGGATCGCCTGAGCACAGCAGGTTGAAGCTGCAGTGACCATGAGCATGCCACTGCACTCCAGCCTGGATGACAGAGTGAAACTCCAACTCAAATAAATATACACATTCGTTTGTTTGTTTAATTTATTTATTTATAAATTAATCTTTCTCCAAAATCTCAAATGTCTCTGAGCTCAATGGCAATGTAGAAATGGTGTTATAGTGGAACAAACCATATACGATACCTTCTATGTATTCTACTAAATACAAGTCTTTGAGCGCTACCAAAAACAACAACAAAAATCACAAGTCATCCATTTTGTT